AAATATATATATATATTAATACTTGAGTGTATATATATACTATTACTTGGAATTAATTTTTACTAGTTATACAAGGGATAAGTAAATTAAATCAGAGGCTGAATAGAATCAAGCAAGGGTTTAGTCAATATGGGAAAAAAAAAACTCTAGAGAAAATATGTTTATTTTTGGTCATTAAATCACATTTTGAATACTTACATTATTTTATGATCTCAATGTAATTCATATGTGTTTTGGCAGTGCTGGAAAATATCTAACATAAATAAGATTTAAAACTCCTATAATTTTCCATCATCAAGATAGGAACTTTGTTTACATTTTGCTTTATAGGTTTATAGTCTCCTGTTTATATGTAAATGTATCTATATTAATATATACATAACATATATATGTGTGTGTGCATGCATGTCCCACAATCTTTTGTTCTTAGTTTAATTTGAATGTGTTTGAAATGTTGATTTCATTGTGGAGCATTTACCTGGCACAATAAGTTGTGTTTTGAATTTGTATTATAGTGCTACTAATGGCAAGGATGGAATAACAGGGACCAAGCTTTACCACTTGCATAAATTATTTAAAGAAAAAATACAAAAGGACAAAATACATAAGACAACAATTTTCAATATATTGGACATCAGGCAAGGAAAGACAGTGTCTTCTGAGAGACTGAAAATAAGTGAGGTGAACCTAGAATTATCCCAGCACAGGAAGAGTTGATCAGCTTCCAGAGTTGATGACATGAGGTTGAGGGTCACAGTAGATCGAGAGGCTGGAGTTCACAGGACAATGCACTGAAGAGAAGAGAATTCTATGGAGAGAGAATTCCAGAGCCCACAGATGGTTCAGAATACTTCTTGTTCCTTTTAATCTAAGTGTAAAACCATATTATGCCCAGGGATCAGAGATGAGTGCTGGTCTTTTGCTCTCTGGTTGAAAAGCAAGAACTAAAAAGAGCACAGTATTTCTAAGTAACTCAATTGAACCCTGGAACAAAGCTCAAGAAGTGATATGTATTGAGTCAAAAAGCTGAGGTCACTTGTGTCAGATAAGGGTGAAAAGGGCAATATTCATATTTGATGTTCAATTAAAAATTACAAGGCATGCAAAGAAGTAGAAAATATATCCAGTAGTGTGGTCAAAAATTAAGTGATCTAGAAAAAACAAAACCTGAGATGAAAAGATGATATAATGATTAGATCAAGATGACAAAAGTTTTGTTACTGCATTTCGTATGTTCAAAAAACAAGAGGGAAGGTGAAGCATGGGAGATATAAAAACCGATAAAAATGAACTTCAAGAGAGCCAGCTACAATGTCTCAGATGAAAAAAAAAAAATGTATGCACCAGTTTGGACTAATGGCTGATTAGATATGGCAGAAAATATTAGTAAACCCAGGTTATGTTAAATCACAATATATTTTGTAGTACAATTTATTTATGAAAAAACTAGAGCTTTAAAATAATACCAACCGTGTGTTAATTGCATTCACCACAGATGACGGTGCAGAATTTACTAGCAACACTGTAAAGGGAAAATTATGATTCCTGCATGTTGTTAGAATTTTTTAAATATAAGAATACATACACTATTATCTTGATAATTAAAATATTTAAGTAGCCTAGTAACAGATATAGTAACTGTGTGTAAGTTGGATAAAGAAACTACTTGTGGTTGTCACAGTCAGAACCTAAAATATGAACATCTTAACACAATTAAAGCTTATTTCTAGATGTTGGTGGACTGGGGCTGTCTGCTGTCAGATGACGCAGGGAAACAGGTGTCTTCTGTCCTGTGGTTCCAGGATCCATTTGCATGTTCACTGCAAATAGAAGACATCGTTCAAATACCTTGGTCTGTAACTGACAAGCATTTTTGTCTGCTGTCTTTCAATGTCAGCAGTTGTCCCTGCCCCTTCTTGAGTACAGCACAATGGGAAGGTAGCCACCTCAGCAAGCACAGAGGGCAAGATGCACTGTGGGGACCACTTGCCATCTCTCCCAAACACTCTTACATGGAGGATGCTCAATAAAAGAACAACGGTTACAATTTGTTACGAAAACAATCCTCTATTTCTAGGTGGAGACCAGTTTTGCTTTGTGAATCTCCAACATTCGTGCAGTCTTGGAAGGTGCTTTCAAATGTTGGATCACGTTGTATTTTCAAAAGGATCCTGTAAAATCTCAGTAGCGAGGATTCACCTTTTGCACTCACCTCTGAGATAAATTCTAGTGTCTCAATAGGGGGAGAATGTTCTCCTTGTGTTGAAGCATGATCAAAGCCTTGGCTGGTGAGTCCCAGTAGCCCTCGGCATGACTGAGCCTGTGGGGCTCTTTTACAGGTGCCATTAGGGACCTAAAAACTGGGACTTCCCTCTGAGGCAAGTACTGAGCTCAGAGGCAGCCGAAGGATGATGAATGACTCAGCTCTTGGCTGTTCAAAGATAGCACGTCTATCAAGAAACCCTTTTCCTCTCCTCAGAGACTCTGGGGTTGTGAGGAATTCAGACTCAGTAGATGTTTGCCACGCAGTGATTCCTACGGTCTTTCCTCATCTCCAAATCACAAGGGAGGCTTTGGTTATGGACCATCTTGGCAAGCTCGCTCCTTAGAATATTTGTTATAGACAGTCTCAGTGAATACATGATTAACATATTCCAGAGTTAGAGCTAGCAAGGTCACTGCGGAAGAACCAGGAAGGGTGATATCATTTGAGAAAATGCTGGGAGTAGAAATACGCGTGAGTCCGAGGGCAGAGCCAGCTCTCAAGGAATCCTGGACTGGGTCAGGAGGAGCCGAGGCAAATGAAGTTCACAGACAGTCCCGGACTATGATTTATTCTCCCGTTCACCTTCCTTCTTTGCATCTGCTTTTAATATTTTGCTTACAAGTCCTCTTTCTTAGTGTCTGAGATATATTTTGCAGTAAGCGGTGAGAAGAAAAGCTTAGGGACATAGCCTGCCTTAGGCTGGGAGCAGTGGAACAGTGTGGCCTGGAGACAAATTCAGACCAGAGCACTAATTCCCACCTTTGTCACTTAGTAGTATTGTGAATTTGAGGAAATTGCAAATTCATCATCTGCAGAGTCTGATAAACCCTATCTTGTAAGACTCTTGGACTATATAGGATGTTTCTGTGCACCTGAAACAATGGTCTTTAAAGTATGTCATTTATTACTATGATAATTATGACCCCAGACAATAATACCAGTGCCTTTGAATTTCTTCTTTAATTTTATGAGATGTCAGAAAGTAGGCAGCAGTTTTGGAAGGAATGAAATACTGCTTAGCCAGTAAAACTATGTAAAGCGTCCCCATTTGAATTTTTTTTTTTAATTTCAGTGTGGGGAAGTCTTCTCCAGTTGGATATACTCAGAGGCGATATGATTTGTGTCCAAAACCAACAGCTTTTCCATCCATCCATGCCTATTTTCTTTAATTTCTCCACCACCAAAAATCTAATCTGTGTTTAGAGTTTGCCATATTACACTCAAAGTAATTTTCTGTTTGTTTGTTTTAATGATGTTTATTGAGGTAACATGGATTTCCAACACTGTGTATGTTTCCGGAGTACAGTTTCACAGCTCTGCATAGGCATGCTCTCACACTATGCGCACCATCAAAGCACCCATAATCCTCCACCATGAGCTGTTGAGCCCCACCCTCTCCCTTTGGACCCCATTCCCCCTACCCCACATTTTCGGTAGCCTCAGTTCTGCTGTTAGAGTTTAAGGATTTGTTTTGATTTGTTTATGTCTATTCCTCTGCCTTGTTTTTTCATATTCCATACATGTACACTCAAGGTAATTAACAGAAAGCCCTTTTCATGGAGCCCAGTGTGTGGAGCGTGGTGTGGGGAGCACCATCCCAATGGCTTCTTGACATCCCACTTCAAGGGAGTATCATCTTTGTTTCTCAAACTCGCTGGCAATGACTTGGAGCCCTGTGTTCACCTGCATGGGGACAAGAGCACAGAACAGCTTCCATTCCTGTTCTCAATAGAAATTCTGGCTTACCCTCAGTCCAGAAGTAACTGTGAAGGACAATCGACAATTTTCCCCTCCAGTATAGCCTCTCCAGTTTGAGACCCACCATCTAGGGATCAGTCCCAGCTCAAAATTCTCACAGCCTCATCCCAGGCACCATTCTACTGAATTTAAAATGATCTCCTCCAAGGGACTTGCTGTGTCCCAACGTGCCGAACAGCCCTGCTTCAGAGCACTCACACATGACTGCTCCATCTGGAACCTTCTCTCTTCCTCACCCGTTTTGTCCCTACAACCATCCCATATATCCCTATCAACCCTTTCATCCCCCCCACGCCTCTTAACCTCAGAGACCTCACTTCGTTTATTAACGACCAGTAGTTTCTATATTTTACTTTGTCAAATTGCCCACCATGTAATTGTCCAATAGTTGTCTTTGTCACTCTGACTTGCTTTATTGCCTTTAATTTTCCCCCACCCCTTTTTAACTTGCCATTTATATAGATCACACAGTGTATGCCATCATCTACCTCAGATGGCGCCAAACTTTCAACTTTCAAAATCTGTGGGTAGCGCCTCGTGTTTCTGACTTTTCTTACCATCACTATGCAGCCATGGAGCTTTCCAAAGAGCATATAGATGCTCAATGAGTTGTTGTGGAATAAGACAGCAGACAAGATGTCTACCTGATTATTATTCAATTTAAGAATAATCTAATAAAATCCAGATATCTTTAACTTTACAAAAAAATATTAAATGAACAAAATGAACCAAAAATTTGCCAAAATTTACTTTTTCCTTTTCTCTTTAGTTGATCCTAATGATTTCAAACAAAGGTCATTCACTTTTCCATGAAAAATCCCAGGCCCATGACCACCATATTTTGTTGTCTCACAAAAACAAAAAAAGATGGATAGATTCCAAATTTGTTTTATAAAATATCAAAACTCTAATTCATACCTAAGAAAATCTGAGTCTTCAATGAATGGGAGTTAGGAGATGAAATAGCACTCTACTATCAGATTTTATTAGTAAACAAATGGATAGCTGAAAATAGCAGTGGAATAGGGTGAAACAACATAAAACATAATTTCAAAATCTAAATCAAAGTGTTTTTATTTTTACTAAAAGGAGAAAGGAAAACCATGAATTACACACATTTTGCTTTTTGAAACTATTTCTCTATTTTGTGATGCCAAATATTTTAGTTGCTATTCTTCCACATTTCCACGAAAATCCCTATCATTATTCCATGTTATCTATGTATGGATAATAAAGAAAACATGGTTCATGGATTTCTCATACATATACAAAAACTGTAACATTCAAACTTTAAACAGCAATAAATATCAGAGCCATGTATTCACAGATTTACATTCTGAAGCAAATACTTTCCACTATAAGAATAAACATTTGAAAAATAAGAAGTTAACTAAATAAGATAAATAGCAATGAATATGTAGAAAATTACTAGTTTAGAACAGTAAGACAAAAAAAGACTTTTACTTTGCTCTCATAAGCTCCAACTTGCCTCTCCACTGCTTAGAGGCTGAGAGCTCTCTGCAAACATGAAGTGGAAAAGCTGTCCCAGGCCTCCCTAGGTGCCGGGGGAGCTGGCGAGCTGGGCCCCAGAGGGCCCACGAGCCTTGGCTGTGGTGCCAACCCTGGCCGCGAATCGCATGCATGCCCTGTCTGCCTCATCAAACAGAGCCTCCTCGTACAGGTCGGGGAAGGCACTGGGGGTGGTATTGCTGAGCTTGGCTAGAACCTTCAGCACCTGCATTTTAGTGGTTTCCACATGGGCCCTGGGACCCCACAGGAACTCATAGGTGGGGGGATCACTGCCTGGCACCTGGCGGTACTCCAGGTACTTATCTCTCACCAGATCTTGGGTGATGAACCTGCGGGGCTCCCCAAAGATGAGGTGCCTCCTGCCAGCGTGCACCCCCAGGACATGGAGGAAATCCCAGACCTGCTCCTCGGAGGCACGGTTGCCCTTCATGAAGATGACGCCCAGGAGCGCCAACAGGAAGCCCGTCTTGGGCAAGCCCACACTCCCCACCAAATCCTCTTCGCTGGGGATCGCCATCTTGCTGGCCAGCGTGTAGGAGGGGTTGCTGGGGTTGACTTCCTTCAACTCCAGGCCAAACACCAGGTCCATGCGATCCGCAGCTCTCTTGAGGATCTCGGGGAATTGCTTCTTGTACTTCTTCTTGACCACCTTCAGCAAGGCTACCTGAGTGATGGGCTCCTTGCTTTTGTACTTCTGCAGCAGGAACTGAACCAGCATGCTGGCCTTCCTGGTGAGGGGATCCTTGCGGTAGGTCTCCATGGCGGCTGCCACCTGGGAGGTGCTGCCGCTCGCCGCCTCTTGGCCCTGGGCACCTTCGTGGGCACCTGGGCACGAGGCCCCTGCATCAGGACAGCGAGGACCCTGGGCCTGCTTGGGCTCCTGGGGAGGATCAGCAGCAGGGGAGCCGGGGGGAGTAGCCTCAGATTCAGCAGCAGGTGAGGAGTGGGGAGAAGACTCCTCCCCCTCTGCTGAGGCAGCCTGGGCCTGGGTCTGGGCCTGGGCCTGGGCCTCACTGAGACTCTGAGTCTCCCCCAGGGCCTGGTGACGTTTCTCCCGGGCCCGGATCTTACTCTTCTGACCGCGAGGCATGAGGACACTGGTCAGGGAGAGCAGGCACCAGTGTGGGCGGCAGAGTAGGTGATGGGGCCACCTGCAGGAGGGAGAATGAGAGGGTGTGAGCGCCCCCCACCAACCAGATGTCCCCTTGGCTTTGAGCAAGACTACTTCTGGGGGGCCTGAGGGCACTACTCCAGAACCCCATGATGCTCTTCTCCAGGTCCGAATGAAATGACCCGAATAATCCATGGAGGCAGATTATGTGGCCTCAGGGTTCAGCCTCCCAGCTGTCTGGAGGTATCCGGGTTGCCAGCAGAGCCTGCCAGCGGGAACCCCTCTGTTGGCGTGGGGTGTCCTCCCAATTCATGGGCAGGATTGTCAAGTTCATTGTTGGCAAGACCTGGGCCCCCAGGCCCCTCCCTGCTCTGCCGTGGAGACTTCACATTTCCATGACATGAGTAGGAAGTCCGAAGCGGCTTCAGCCCACCAGCCCCGGCAGAGTGCACCCACACCTGACTTGTCTCTGTCCCAGACTTGTTGGAGTGCTCCCTTGTCATTCACAACCCTCACCTGGCCTCCAGGGAAGGCCTGACAGGCCTCCTTGCTGCTCTCTGTTGGCTTCACCTTCACACCAAGGCTTTTAGCCCCTGGCACCTGCTATTCAGAAGCCAGAAGAGCCTCAACCCGATCTACCCGCCTTGGGCCATCAAGGGCTGGAAGCAGGCGGGTCATAATGTGCTGGTCAACTCTGTACAGGCCTGGATGGTCCCTCTGGCCTCACTCACTTCCCCCTCCTTGGGTCTCCTAGAGTCTGTGTCCCCCGTTTGCTTGAGGTCTATCTTCTCTTGCTAAGGTGAGCCCCCACCTGAGAGCTCCGGGAGGAATTGAGTCTGGTGTTATCTGACCGCATTCGCCTGGATTCTCCCCCAAGGAAAGCAGCAGCAGGCAAGCCAGCCCCGGCCCCTTTGTGACTGCTCGCGCAGGTTCTCAGGCAAGGCTCTCTTTGACCCCTGGGTGTATTTAAGACTCTTCCCTCTGCTGAAGTGTAACTCCGCCGCTCAGACCAAAGCCCTCACTTCTCTGTGAACCCCAAAGGGAAATGAGCAGCAGTTTTGCCTGACACAAATGCCTGGACCTCCCTGAATGACAGTGTTTAGGGATTCTGAGGCGTCCTTCTTGTTAGGGGTGAGTGGTTCCCGCAGTGACCACCTCCTCACCCCGACTCTTCCCACCAACTAGAAACCATGCCTCTGGTGACCAGTTGCCTGCCCCTCCCCTCAGACCAAGTCCCACACACCCCTGCTTCCCAGTCTCCACGCCTTCGCAAACCTGCTCCCCACCCCTCCTTTACCCTCCCTCCCGCCGTTCCCCACAATCCTTTATTGCCTCCAGCCCCTCTCGGCCCCCATCACCCCTTCCTCTTCCCCACCCACCACTTGCCCTAGCTCAGGCTCCACACACTCGCGGAGGGCCGAGAGAGCCAGCACCAAGTGAAGACATTTGCCCTGACCCTCCCAGGCCTCCGTCAGGAGCGCGACCCCGTGAGGCCCCGTTCTGGCCTATGGCGCCCTCTCCGTCGTCACGAGGGCTGTCTAGGCGAAGGTCACTCCTCAGGGCCCGGGAATGTCCCTCCAGTGACCTGAGAATCTCCCCGCCATGGACCAAAGCCTTTATTCCCCACGGTCCCGTTGGGAAGCAAACCCACTTGGGGCCTAGCAGCCATTTTGGGGCCTCCCGGGCCACGAGCAGGGGCGCTGGGCGCGTCCGCCTGGCCACCTTGGGAGGGGCTGGAAGAGATTGGGGTTTGGAGGGGAAGGGCTCGCTGTCCCGCTCGGCACACATCACACGTTCACACCTGGCAAGTCTTCAGACTTCTTCCTCAGATTACTGCCGGCAACAGCTGTCTCAGGAGACCTCAGGTCCCTCAGCACGTTTACCAGGAAGTCGTCGAGGCCCACTTCCGGGCAGGACCATCTGGGCCTCCCAGAATGACCCGCGGTGGAGGGGGCGTGGCTAGTGTGAAGGGGCTGCGTGCTTGAGGTTGAATCACGAAGGACTTTCAAGAGGGTCTTTCGTTGACTCTTAGTTCCTCGTTCTTCTGTGTGCTGAGCTCAGTCATGACCAAGATTGACATTTCCCGCAGATACCCCACTAAAAATATTTGTGATCCTAAGCCTAGCTTACTTACTTGGGTCCTCCCCAGATTCAGTCTGTGTGTGTGTGTGTGTGTTCATGGGTGTTTGTGTGGGGGAGAGGGGCCTCTTTGGTGTCTCCTCTCCTGTGATGGATTCTCCTTCACTCTTTTCTCAATGTTTTACTGCTCCTTGTGCATGCTGGTTACATCCCCTCTGCTGACCTAGTCCTAACCCTCACACCAAAGATATTATTTTCCTGTCACCAACATGAAATACAGATTCAACTCATCAGGCTCTTCCTGCCTGGGGACTTCCACAGATGGCTGTAAGTGAGAAATCCTTGAGGTTCAGATTTCTGAGGTAGAATTTGCAGTGAGTTCTAGCAGCTTGGAATTCCTCCCATCTTAAATTTCATTCCCCGCCCTCATCAAGGTCCTTAAGAACTCCATGAAGAAAAACGGAGTGCTCTTTATCCATACAACTCCGCCTGTGGCCTCTCTATGTTGATGTGAGTGCCATCACAAAAATGTTTAAAGAAAGAATTTCTATCTTTATGTGAAATTATGGTGATACTTGCTATCCAGTGCAATATTTATATTTTTATTTTTGACAAGTAAAATGTATATAGTTAAGCAGTATAAAGGATGCATATGTTGTAAAATGATCACTACAATCAAACTATTAAACATATCTAGCACATCTCATAATCACCATTTTTGTGTGTGGTGAGAAATCATGTAGTTTTCAACAACATGGATGAAACTAGAAAGGACAGTTTGCTAAGTGAATCAGACAGACAGAGAAAACAAATTATTCCATGATCTCCCTTATTTGTGGAATCATCAAAACAAAACAAAAGAACTTTGAACTAATAGTAACATAAAATAGAATGGTGGTTACCAGGGAGTTGGGGGTGGTGGGAAAATGGGAGCTATTTATCAAAGGGTACAAACTCATTTATAAGCTGCAGAAGTACTGGATACTCACTGAACAGCATGGTGACTAAAGTTAGTAATGTCACTGAATATTCTTAAATATGCTTGAAATTTGCTAAGTCGATCTCAAGTGGTCTTGCCATTCTATTTGAATTCATGCTTTATATTCTATTAAAATTAACTTTTAAAAAGTTCAGTCCTCACTAACTGTGGCTATTAGGACAATCTTTGGTCACATACTGTCTTAACCAACACAAAGTTTTGTGCCATTCTGATATTACCCCATGGTCCTGGCACTTGGGCTCTGAGGTGCTGCCTCAGAATCCATTGGCAAAGCATTAGAAATTCATTGTCAAGCTCAAGATAGATACAAGGACTGAACTTGAAAGCCTTTTCTCCATCTTGAGCCTGTCTTCCCTAGACCTTTCTCAAGTTTAGGGCATGCCCCCTCCACCTTCACACCTACACTACTTCAGACCTAATGTCCCTCAGGGGGTTCTCATTGCTTTGTTTATTCTTTCTTTGGTTTTTCCATGGTCTTTTGGGACCCAGGAAACAACAGCCCGAATTTGGTTTTTGTCTCAAAAGCTGTGGATAAGGCACTAAATCGGTGAATAAATTAAGGAGAATTGACATCTTTGTAATATATTTTGTTCCTCTGAATAACTCTATTATACTGCTCTATTTGGGAGTTATCTTTGCAAAGTTTATCAGTAAATGTTTTAGTTGCCTCCATAAAGATCTTGTACAGTTTTGTAAGGGTTCATTTTAGGTACATTTTTATATTGTTGCTGTTGTGAATGGTATATTTTCCATTAAGTATTCTAATTAATTATTGCTTTTTTGTGACCAGGCATCTGATTTGATACAGTAATTTTCTACATAGTAGATTTTTGATGCATTTTTTTCCTTATGCATTTGAATATTTTGCTTGTCTATTACTTTGCATATTTTAATTATAGGATCATATTGTTACTATTATTAGTCTCTGTTCATACTTCTTATTTATTTTGTTATTTGTGTACATGGCTGTATCCTGCTATACATTATTATCCAGGCCTGTGTTAGCATATCTCTGTGTGTTTTCCAGACTTTATTGGGAGTGCTTTTAATATTTCACATTTTATGTGTATTTGCAGATGATTTTGCAATATGGAAATTCCATTTTTATAATTTTGTTAAAAGTTACTGCCACAAACTTGTGATGGATTTTTATCAGTCTTTTTTTTTTTTAACCCCTGCACATATCAAATGCTTCCCCACCCTCATCTGTTAATGTAGTGAATTCTGATTCATTTTTGCTGTGGTATCTTTACATTCCTTGAACATAATCTATTAATTCACCCCTGGATTGTGTATGCAATGAAGTTATTTTAGATATTTGTCTTTTTATAAGTGAGATTGCCTCAAGTGTTCTTTTTCCAGGACATCCTTATCTGGTCTTTGTATCAAGGAGAGTTAGCTCATTGAAGTGATTTTCCATCTGTTTGTATGGATCATAAGGGTTTACATAACATGTGTTATGTTTATATAAAATTCATTTCTCCTTCACCACTTGGTGTATGGAGCCTCTAATTTTGGCTGGTCTGGAAACATTAAAAGGTGCTTTTTTTTTAAGATTTATTTATTTATGCATACAAGAACTGGGGTACAGGCCAGAGGTGTGGAGGGTGAGAGGATTCACCAGAGACAGAGTAGGGAGCAAAACAGGCGAATTGACTGAAATACACTGCTGAGAGGAGCAGTGGGTGAGACAGGAGAGGTCTGCTGTGCCAGTGGGTCACCTCCCTGGTGGGGGGATCAAGCTCATGCTGCAGTAGCTGTCCATTGCCTCATAGTGCTAAGGCTTAACACTTTGCGCCACCAGGGAGGCCCCTGCTTTGGGTTTTAAGTACCATTTTAGTTTGTATTGTTAGATTAAATTTTCTATCTCTTTATGAATCCCTTTAATCATTTATATGTTGGTAAAAATTTTCTATTTCAATTGTCTTTTGAAAATTAAAGGCATGCTATTTATACTAAAATTATGTTATCACTGAAATTCTCAAAAAAAATACAACAATATAGAGAATAACGAACCAAATATATCTGGCACTCAGCATTGTTAAGTGGAAAGAATTCTCACGGATAATTAGATAGTTTATTAGATAACCGAAGTGAGGAACTGAATCCAAGAAGCACTTCAACAGATGTTCTCTGTGAGAGCTCGTCCAATACACTCAAGTTTGAATTTAGTTTACATATGTAGGAACAGTGAGTGAGCCTTTGATATTCAGAATATAATGTTTCTGATAGGAGGTGCTTCTAGTTCTAAGTTTTTCTGACCTAAAGATGTGCTGATGCTAGAAGAAAGCAGTGCAACATTTCATTTCTTCCTTTCTAAAGAATACACTGCCCAGATGCAAAGACTGAGTACCCATTGTTAAATTTTCTTGACCTGGCTCCTTCATTATCACTTGGTATGAAAAGACTGGCTTTACCTTCAGGCAACAATATTCCTGCATAAACTGCAAGATTCAGGCATTCAGACTTAAGTCTATGAAAATGACTTTGCTCTCTTTCCTGCTAGACCTGGGGGAAGGGTCCCCAGGAAATTTTACACTATGTTTATAGCATCAACAATCATCAATAATAATGAAAGAAAATTGATCAGATTAAGGTTGTTTTTTTTTTATTGGTAACACTACTCCAAAGGTGACACTGTATACTCTATTAGAAGCTACATAACTGTGATGGTGTGATATCCATAGAAAGGGGAGGCTTCAGGTCCCCTGCCCCACCCAAGGAAGGGTGGAGCTGAGCAGCCAGAGAAGACTCAGGGGCCTCTCCTTTGGCGCAGTGGGTTGAGTGCAGCACTGCGAAGCTGTCCGTAGCCTCTGCAGCGCGGGTTCGATTCCCAGCTGTCGAGGGAGATTCCCACATGGCACAGCAGACATTTCCTGTGGCACCCGCTGCTCCCCTCAGCAGTGTTTTTGGTCGGTCTGCCTGTTCTGCTCCCCACTCTGTCTCTGGTGAATTCTCTTGCCCTCCTGCACCTCTGGCCTGTACCCTGGTTCTTGTATAGATGGATAAATCTTAAAAAAAAAAAAAAAAAAACTCAGGAGGAAGGACTTGAAAGAAAAGGAAGATGAAGAGAAAAAGACTGGAGGAGGTGCATGGGGCAGAGAGACAAGTGAAGAAGCTGCACTTGCTTCTCAGCCTTGTACTTGTACCAGGAACTTTGGGGACATGAAAGGAGACACTTAAAAGAGACAGAGAGGGGTGTGAGAGACCCAGAGGGAGGCTGACAATGGCAGCCTTTATCTTGATTTGTATTTTGATTTTGCTCTTTTCCTTCCAGACTTGCCTGACCCCTTTTGTCCCTATCCTGCGGTTCCCCACCAGAAGGTGCCTTAGACTTGTTGCAAGCTTTTGGGCCTCAGTGGCCCCATTTTGGGCCAACCTTGTTTGGCTGGGCACTTACCCTTGAGGAGATGGGTAACATTGGGTGTTTAATTGGAAACTATTTTAAGTATATTCTTTCCCTCCTCTGCTCCATTGCACCCTAATTGTATTAAACTTCTTTCCTATCAGTGGTCTTATGCGTTGAGCGTATGTTTTGTCTTTATGCAGCAGATGGCAGAATCCATTTAGAACAGGCATGTCTGGGGGTCCAGGGTGCCTCTCACTCTGCCCTGTAACATAACATCTGTTAAATTTTTTGTAGTAATGTTGGCAGTCATTGACAATCATCACCCTCATCCATTAATCCACTAGAGGCTTCTGAACCGTAATTTGATCATTATTTTGTGTTTTTATCAGCTATAATAATTCTCTAGATAGAAACTTTTCCTTACCCTCCATTTGTTCTCTTGCTATAATGGCTGAACTATTTATAGTGTTCTCTTATAGTC